TACGTGCCTGGTGCTGCTGTTCTAAGCACTGACAATAGCAGAGACCAAGACCCAACAGGTCTGAGCTTCCACAGGCTTAATTTCAAAAGGAGATGTAGCCAGGAAACAAGTTAGCCAATTCAATAAACTAGATTTCATGGCAGATAGTCATTTAGAGGGTAAGACAAGCAAGTTTTTGTTGTTGTTTTTTTGTTTTGGTACCGGGGATTGAACTCAGGTCCTTGTGCTTGTGAGACAAGCGGCAGAACCACTGAGCTAAATCCCTGGCCCAAGACAAGCAATTTGAAACAAGGCTGTCTGGAAAGGGCCTTCTGAGAAAGTAGTATTTGTTCGGAGTGATCAGAAGTGTGCAGACATGGCAAGACTGGGAGGAAGAGCATCCCTGGCAGAGGCAGCATCGTGGGCAAAGGCCCGGAAGTGGGAAGGAGCTCTGTGAGCGTGGAAGAAAGCCCAGGAGGCCGATGTGGGAGGCGTCTGTCTCCAAGGCTTTGCCCAAGTCCACAGATGCAGTTCCTAGTGATCCTCCACCCACATTATGGGTTTCGTTGGAGCAGATAAACATAAATGCCGTGGGCAAGAACTCAGCCTCTCTCCCTCAATCTCCAAGTCAACCTGCCTGAGTGAGGCTGTATCTCCTTCCAAAGGCTATAGCTGCCAATTATCCACACAGCAGGATTATAATTTCGCATAGCAGTGGTAACACTGGAAGCTTCCAGACACACAAAGCAGCATCTAATTCCCTCTTCCCTTCTTCTCCTTCATCTGTGTCCTGTCCCCAGAGCCTCAAGTAGATCAGGCGCCTATCACCAATTTCAGCTCTGCCTTTCCCCACAGGTAAGTCCCCAGGGGCAACTGCATTTTCCAGTGTGTGTTTTTACAGCTGACAGGAGGCTCAGGCTTCTTTTATGGGCTGGAGGTACATACTTGTAATCCCAGCTACTGGGAAGTCTAAGGCAGGAGGATGGCAAGTTCAAAGCCGGTCTGGGCAATTTTAACCTTTTCTCAAAATAAATAAGAATAAAAGGGTGGGACTGGGGATTAGGTCAGTGATAGAGAGCCCCTGGGTTCAATTCCCAGTCCTGCAAAGAAAGGGGGGAAGGTAGGCTAAAGCCACAGGAGGAGGCCTTGAGAAGCCTGAGGCACTGCAGGAACACACACACAAGTCCAGGATGCCAAGGAGGGCCGGCAGCCACCAGAGGCAGGTGAGGAAAGACTGTCCCCTTAGGGCCTTCAGAGAGAGCACGGCCCTGTTGATACCTTCATTTTGGACTTGTAGCTTCTAGAACTGTGAAAGCAAATTTTTCTATTGCTTTAAAACACTAGTTTGTGGTACTCTGATACCACAGCCCTGGAAAGCTAGCATAGCATAAAATATGACTTACTTTTATGATGAAAAAAAATCATAATGGACTCTAATAGAATTTGCAGTCTTACCCTAGTCAGGAAATACGGGAAGTTGAGTAAAACAAGTGCAAACAATTTCTCTGCTGGCATTATCAGCTTGTATGGAAATTGCCATTTATCTTCACAAGGCACATTGTCTCAGGTCTCAGCCCAACTAATCTCATCACAATGCAGCCATGCCAAATTTTCTAGAATCTGATCATATCGCCTATCTGCTTAAAACCTTCAGTGGCTTCTTCCGAGTTCCCCCACAACAATATCCAAACTTCTGCAGCTTCTCCCCACTCACCTCCCATACTCTGCTTCACACTGCTGCTCAGTCTCTGCCTGTGTTTTGTATCTTCCCTTCTGCCTCACTGCTTGGCCAACTCCTGTTCTAGCATCAGTTCTCTATCCAGATGCCCTTTCCTGTGGCTGGGCTGCCCTCCCAGGCAGTCCCATTGTCTGCCATAATTGCTCTGGCTTGGCACTGGCTCAGTACTGACGCATAACTTCACACAATTTCCTGGCTCAGCACTTGTGGCCCCCTCTAGGGTTGTAACTCAGAAGTCATCCACAGACAAGAAGCATCAGGATCACCAGAGTTCATTAAAGATGCAGAATCTCCATCCAAGGAAAGCTCCGGAACCAGATGGGCAATGAACCAGGTTTTCTAGATCCCACCTGGGGCACGGAATGCTCTTTTCATAACATAGCACACTGTACTGTCTGTCCTATGACAGAGATTTAAGTGATCAAAGCATCAGACAAATTTGCTGTTAACAAACATGGTACAGAGGGAAAAAAATTCTCCTTATTAGAACAAATAGAATTAGGTCTAAAGCCGGCATATTTCATCATAGGTTTGCTTTAAATACCTCTTTATTCATATTTTATACCATCTTTAGTTGTCAAATTCCATTTTCTGCTTGAAATATATGAATGACTATTACTAATCATGTTTGTTGTGCTGTTCATATATTATATTAGGTTTATATAATATATAAAACTCTAAGTGACAACATACACTTGCACTGCCATTTTTTAACTTGGTTCATGCAGATGAATTAGCTGATAACAGTTTTAAAAATTATCATCCTCAGTCCTATTTTTTTTTTTTTTTTGTACCAGGGATTGAACTCGGGACCTTGTACTTGAGAGGCAGGCGGCAGCACCACTGAGCTAAATCTCCGGCCCCTCAGTCCTATTTTTTAACAGATTGTAGGAAATTATAATACATCAGGATAAATTTTTATTCATTATTTTGTTAGCTCCAAAGGCCAAAATTTCCCCATGTTTGTATTTCTTGAAGCCTAACATTAAATTATCCATATTTCCAGAGAGAGAGGCACAGGTAAGAGAAGCTTGTCACATTCTGTTTCTAATTTCCCTATAGAATATTAGATACAAAAGCGAATTCATGGACTATTTCAAATTCAGTCTTAAAAAGTCCTTTTTCATCCAGCTGCTTTGGACTCATTTCTGAAGCTCACCTCCCCCAACTTGTTTCCTATTCTTTCCAGCAAGTTGAATTTGCAATCCATTTAAAGGTTTGTATCCAGACCAGGTCAACAACCTTTTATAATGATAATGTTAGCGGATAGGATTGACATACCCTTTGTAGGTAAACAATTTTATAATTTGCTTTACTCTCTCAGTGTGCACTGCATTTCACTGTGCAAGGTTTGAAGTTTACTAGTCTACGTAATCAGGAAATTAAAGGTGTTCTTATGCATTAAGGAAGCCAAAATGAGCCTTGAGATGGTCACAACAGTTTTGATTTACCAGGTTTGCAGTAACAGATTTTAGGGCCATATCACCACATTGCTTTCTGTGTCATGTGGAGGTATCTCTTGAGTTTGGCCCACTCTTGTCCCTATGTATTTATTGTACTCAAAACAAAAATAAAAACAAAAATTTAAATTTAAGAGTAGTTTTGTCCTACACTTACTGTCTGTACCTTTTGCAGGGCAAAGCCATAAATAAATATTTGCTGGTTTGTGTTGATTGAGTGATTTAAGGTAAATAAACAAGCTCAAATGCCTACTGGGGGAAGATAATGTAAAGGAGAAAAGCTAACAGCAGGGATTGTAAGTGAACCAGAGTCCCAGCCTCTGAAGGGCGTGGCTTCTACCATGCTTCTAGTTTACTTTGCACTTTGGAAAGTGCGTCCTAGGTTGCTAGAGCGGCTGATTTTCCGAGGGATGCTGCAAAAACAGGCTTTTAATGCAATCTTTTTCTAAGTGCTGGGAATCAATTCAAATTTTTACCAAGTCATTTTGCAGACTAATACTGTGAACCCAAACAAATACTTCTAGGAAGTCCATTTACTTGCCAGGAACCAATTCGGAAGTTCTGCTTTAAATAGAACAGATAATATAAAAACACACATTTTGGGCCGGGGATTTAGCTCAGTGGTTCTGCCTCCTGCCACTCAAGCCCAAGGTCCCGAGTTCGATCCCTAGTACCAAAATAAATAAATAAATAAATAAAAACACATTTTCTAAGACACTGTGATTGTTAGGAAGGACCTGACGGGTAAGAGATCTGGCTTCCTGTGGGGCTCCTTGGGTTTAGATGAGGCAGGGCATTGCTCTCTGCTCACGTGAACTTGGGCAATTTAATCTTTATAAATCTCAGCTGCTGCACCCGTAAAGTGGTCTTGACGGTAAGACTACCAGCTTCCCGGGGTTATTCTAAGGACGACATGAGAAAATTTAAGCCACAGCCCGTGGCATTTAATGGCCCCATACCTGTTAACGATTCCTAATTCAGTACTCTTCTAAATAACACAGTTATTCATGCTCCTGCCAAATACTGCACAAATAATATCACGTTCCCAGATATCTCAACATTCCGCCACAAGAAATTGTACATTTTCTATATGATGTCTCATTCTTTACTCAACATCAGAATAAGCAACATCGACACAGACAGGAAATATGCGCTGCTTATTTCCAGGCCAGACCGGGGGCAGAGAATCAGCCCTCTTAGACTGCCGATGCCTAATCACACAAACCCACACTCTTCCCGAACGCTATAATACTCTGACTTACGTCAGGGGATCAATTCTGCAGCAACTTCACAACAATTCCTACGTTTAATTTATTCTCGGACCTAGTACTTTCCTCTAGTGGCGTCTGACACCGTCTCTACCGTTATTAAAGTTCATTTCTCTGCAAGTATCCATCCACACTCTGAGTTTGAAGTTTTCTTTTTTCTAACTCCTTTCGAGGTTTGTTTACAAAAGTCTCTAATTGACAATTTCTGATAAGGACTAGGCGTTTGGCCACTCCCCGCACTCAACTTTCCTTCCAGGGAAAACCTCTGTCGGCGCTCCTAAACCTCACACCACAGCTGATTCGACTTGACTTGGGGTGTTCGCAGATTCTCGAAGCCGACCCCTTTGTTCTGCCACCCCGCTTTTTAAGGAAGTCATTTAGGGCCGGGCGGTGTGCCGCGCCCCTCGGCTGGTCTGCGCCCCGGCGCGTCTACGGCGATTCCCGGCGGGTTACGCTCGCCAGAGTCCGAGACTCTCTCCAGAGGGCTTCTCGCGGGGGCGGGGACAGGGGCGGGCCCGGCGTCAAGTTTCCCTACGTCACCTGGGAAGTCCCCATATGACCCGACGGGGTGCGCGGGCACTTTAGAGGATTCCCGGCTCCCGCGAGTTAGCTCTGCACCTCCGCGCGCCGCGCCACTTGTTCCTGCCCGCTCCCCGCGCAGCCCGCTCCCTACCGAACCCCAGGTGCTCGACTGGGCACTGCGTCTTCCGGAGTGCAGCAGAGATCGTGGCGGCGCCTAGAGAGATGCCTGGAAAGGTGTGTAAGGGCACGCAACCGAACTCCAAGCGGGCACTGGCAGGTAACCACCAGCTTCGGCCACGGAAACCCAAACCCGGCGGGGTAAGAGTGGAGTTTGGAGGTCGCGCTGGGCCCAGATCCCGGTCCTTCTGGGTTCGGGGTCGAAAGCACAAAGCCTCCAGGTCGGGCCCGTCCCCGACCTGGCGCGCGCCTAGGAACGCATCCAGGAGTTGCAGACCCACGCGCGGAGCTCAGCCAGTCTTGAGTTAGGGATGCCGCTGCATTTTGGCCAGGTCACAAAGCTTCTGCTTTCCCCTTCGCACTAATTGCTCTTTCTTGGGGCCACCGGGAGAAGTGCAAATGCAGGCTGCTCCCCCATAGTCATTGTTTTGGCTGGCGGGGGCGGAAGAGGGCTCCGGCCATACTGGTATTACATCAGACAACTTTAGGCCCCCAGTTTTCTTCACTTTCATTTTATAGTCCCGCCTAGTGGGGCATGCACGGGAAGTGGTACATTGCAAATATGACCATGGCTAAATTGGCACCAGGCTGCTTGCCCTGGTCATAGCTTGGGATGGAGAAACTGTGCTCACCTTTTGTGATGTTCAAGAGTTCTGATCATGTTTTTGAAAGGTCTATTCTGTGCATAGCCCTCTCTGGACCTAGTTCCCAACAGTAAGAGACCAGCAAAGGTCCTCTCAAATTTAACTAGATATTAAAACATTTACAGGTGTGTAACTGTAGTAAAAAAATGAAGGAAACAAGGCTGGAGGTGTAGCTCAGTGGTAGAGCCCTTGCCCAGCATGTGCAAGACTTTGGGTTCCATCTCTGTACCCCCATAACAGGAAGCAACCAGAGTCTATTTTCTGAGATTTTGTTGTTGCTGCTGCTGTTGCTGTTGTTGTTAAAAGAGGTAATTTTTCCTCATAGATACAGAACTTTCGAAAATCATATGATCTGGGCCGGGGATTTAGCTCAGTGCTTTCGCCGCCTGCTGCGCAAGCGCAAGGACCCGAGTTCATCCCTGGTACCAAAAAAAAAAAAAATCGTATGATCAGTGATATTTTATACGGACTGTATGCTAGTCTGTTACTGCCTTTGTAAATAATCAAAATATTTGTTTGACCCTGGAGCCTATAAAAATTGTATATAAAAATTGCATATGATGTGATTTATTAGGTTTCCTAGTAGGGGTTAGGAAAGATTTCACTCAGCTCTTGTAGAGAGAAAAATTGGCTGGAATGTAAGTTTTAGAGTTTGCTTTTACTACATATTTACATGTCTCATTCATTTTGAGCCTGAGTGTGGGGACTTACAAAATACTGGGTTGTTAATTTGTATTTGTGATTACTTTTAACATTCGTAGTCATGAACTTTAAGAGGACCAAAAGACCATGAATTGTTCTATGAAATATTAAAAAAATAGCAATATATGGATTTTGTACTAATTTTATTTAGGACAAAGTTTAATTGGAAATTGTAAGATTGATTTTCTTAAAATAATATTTCATTAATTATAGTACCTAAATTCTAAATAGTAGTAAACATGTGAATTATGAATTATGAAGCTTATTTTCTGCTTCTTTCTTTTCTATATAGGCAAGGCACTGATACAGAATGGGGTTGTAGGAAGAGGCTAGTTTAGGTTAACATGTAAATTTTAAGTTACTTTAGGGAGTATATTTAATTTAGAGTAACATTTTTTTCTTTTTTTGGTATCAGGGTTCGAACTCAGGTCCTTGCGCCTTGGGCTGTTGGGGGGAGGTGGCGGAACCACTAAGCTCAATCCCCAGCCCCATGGAGTAACATTTTTATGAGAAAATATCAAGGAGTTTTTAAAGGAGGGCATAACTGAACTATGAAATTGCTATTTGAAGACCAAATCTACTTATAAACAATACATAGGTTTAGAATCTGACTTCTGTTCCCTGTCCAACCTTAAAGTGAGATCCTGATGTCTCCCGGGGGTGTTAAAGGCATAATAATGGTATTGTTCATAGTGTTGGACATATTTCTATATTTCAAAGTAAGATAACACATGCTTCAGCCAGCATTTTTTTAAAAAGATTTCAAATAACTGAGTATATTCTTACTTGAAGTCTCACATTTGGGAAACAGGTGCACATGAAGCTAAAGTTAAGAGAAATATTTCTGGGACTCTGCTTGTCATTTGAAAGGGGGTGTTCACTTGGCCTACAGCATGGACTGTTGTCACTATTCATTTCGATGTTTCCTTTTCAGAGCTGGAAGTTGAGTGCGCCGCCCAGCTCAGGAGAATTGGCAACAAACTGAATCCCCTGGGCTGTGCCACGGAGATCCGGGCGATACTTGGAGAGATGCCTGGGAAGAAGGCTCGGAAGAGCGCACAGCAGGGTCCACCACGGGCCCCGGCAGGTGCGGAGTCCCCGGGCCTGCAGTGGGGCCTGGTTAGTCTGAGGGGACTCCAGGCTGCCTAAGGGTGCACCAGGGTCCGACAGGCGTCAAGGCCGGGTCTGGTCAGTGCCCTGGCGTGTGCCTTTGCGACGCTTCCAGGAAGCTGTTCAGGCAATTCTCTTTGAACTGCAGGCCTCGATCCCTCCGGGCCTTGGTTTGCGATTGGCCTGTAGAGGCTCGTTGTCCTTGCCCTGGCCAGGAAGCTGCTTCCCCTCTACTTTTCCCTTCCTTCTCCTCTTCACTTGTCTTGCCTGAGGTCAAGGATGGGAAAAGTGCAAGTTCAGGCCCCGCCCCTAGTCTTTGTCTTGGCGAGCCTCAGAGCTTTCCTAAGCCCCACTCTTTCTTCCTCGTCCTCCACTTGGGAGAGTCCCAGGTCCCCTAGAGGGGACAGTGGTAACTGAGACTGCCCCACCCCCAGCTCCAACAAAAGCAGTGTTTAAGCTTGATACTGTCCCAGGCCCTCCCTTCCCACCCTGCCGTGAGCGCGACCGAGGGCTTTACGGAGGCCTGCCTGGACTCCTGAGTTCAGGAGCCTGGGAGGTCTTCCTCCTTAGTTAACATTTTAACAGGCCTTTTAGAAAGGAGTGGGGGTGGGATCCCGAAGAAGAGTTGGTCGACCACCGCCTTTTTTTTTTCCATTCATGCCCACCCCCTCCATCACAGGTCTGCTCACTCTGTCTCCTTATCCCTTCCCATTTCGTAAATCTTATCAAAGGCTGCGGTCACCTGCCAAGGGGTTTTTAACTAGGCAGGACGTAAAGGCTCCTGCCTGGAAACCCCTTTGGGCCATACTGTGATTACATCAGGCTACATACCCCCCCCCCTTTCCCTTTTATAGCCCTGCTGGTGAGGAACGCACAGGAAGTGGTATATTGCAAATGCGACCAGGGCTAAGTTGACACCAGGCTGCTCTCCCTGGTCATAGCTTGGGGTGGAAAAACTTTGTCCAGCTTTTATGATATCCAAGGGCTTTGACCATGCTTCTGAAACACTCAATCTGAGCAAAACACTTTGGATGGATTTACTCCATTCCCAAGTAACAAGGCACAGCAGACAGCCCCCCTTAAAATACATTATTAGTACCTGTATAGATGAGTAATCTCAAAATATTAAACTGGGAGCTATTTTCTGCCTTTTTTTGGGAAAGGGATGATTTTTCTTCATAGAGTTCAAGGCTCCTCAGATTGTATGGTACATGATGTTTTGGGAGGTGGTGAGTGAGGATCCAACCCAGGGATCTAGAGCACCAGGGAATCCTGTATTAGCCCATAAAAATGGCATCTTGAAAGAATATTAGGTCTCTTCTTAACCCTTAAGAAAAATTTCACTCACTCTTTTTGGCTGAAATGTAGGTTTAAATATTTACTATTTATTTATAGTTCTCATTTCTTTTTAGCCTAAATAGGATCTTTGCAAGGTCTTTTTAAAAGAAAAAAATTTAAATTTGTAATCTGCTTATCATTTTCTTGAAATGGACCAAAGTGGAACAAAACAACCCTTGAGTTCTCATAGTTTGAGTTAGTTGTATTTAAAGTGTGGACTTAATTTTGTGAATAATTTTTTATGAGAAAATATTAGTGGTTTAATGTGAGAAAGAGTAAAGTTTTTATTTATTAAGAAGGCAGGAATAATTTGAACTGTAAATTACTATTTGAAAACCAAATCTACTTGAAAACAACACAAGTGTTTAGAAACAGACATCTCTTTTCTGGCCAATCTTTTAAAAAATTTTTCTTTCTGGGGGATTGAACTCAGGACCTTGCACTTGTGAGACTGATGCGGCGCCACTGAGCTACATCCCCAACCCTCTTTCTGGATGATTTTATTTATTTTATTTTATTTTATTTTTTTTGTTACCAAGGATCGACCTTGGATTCTTGCGCTTGTGCAGCAGGTGGTGAAACCACTGAGCTAAATCCCTGGCCCTTCAGGATGATTTTAAAGAAAGATTTGAAAGTAAATGTTTACATACTTAAAAATGGGTCAGTGTCTGTGTAGGTTGTAAATGGTCTTTTACTTTGAGAAAACAGGTGCATATAATGCTGAAATTTTTTTTTTTTTTGGTACCGGGGATCGAACCTGGGTCCTTGTGCTTGCGCAGCAGGCGGTGAAACCTCTGAGCTAAATCCCCGGCCCTATTGCTGAAATTTTAAAAAATGTTTCCTAGGATGAGAATGTTAACTTTTGCTGTTTACAGTTGGGACTATTGTCAATGTTAACTTTGATGTTTTGCTTTCTATTTTTAGAGCTGGAAGTCGAGTGTGCTGCTCAGTTTAGGAGAATTGGAGATAAACTGAATTTTCGGCAGAAACTTATGAATTTGATTTCTAAACTCTTCAGTTTGATAACCTGACTCCTTCAAAAGCTTTTGCATGAAGGGACTTCTTTCAAAAGAAAGTATCCCCAGTAGGTGCCAATCTTATTGATTAGAGGGAAGATTACATTGTAATTGAGAGAAATGTGAAAGAACATTCACTTGCTTCAGGCTGGCTGCCTTTGGAAAGGAAAGATGGAATATAAAGGGCTTTGAACAGAGGGGAACAGAGGGAAGTAATCAATACTCCCACCCTTCCCTGTACTAGGGATTGAACACAGCATCTTTGCACTGATCTACATCCCTAGCTCCCCACTTTTTTTTTCAATTTTGAGAAAGGTTCTTAAGTAGCCGAAGTTGGCCTCAGACATGCAGTCCTCCTGTGTCAGTCTCCCAGTGCACTGCGATTATAGGCATGTACCACCATGGCTCTCTTTTTTGATTAGAGAATTGTTCTTGTATTTTTGCTGTAGGTTTTTGGCGAGTGTAGTGTAAAAGATGATGGCGAATGATTACACTGGGCAGAGGGGAAGAAATAGTTCACTGTTTTCTTTTCAGTGACCACTCCAGAACTACATAAAATACAGAATTTGGTTTATACATATAATCTTAGTAAGAGGAAGAATTTCCTTCTGATAACACTGAAAGCCATAGTGAATGTTGGTTTCATAAGTCACTGCAAAATAATTTTTTTAAAAATTTGGATTGTATTCTTTCTGTTCAGATCATTTTTAAGTATGTTCCTGTGGGCATTGACTGGAAAGTATGGAAAGCTAGAAAATACCTTAAAAATTGAATAGAAGTATAGGAAGATTACTTGGTACCGGTAAAACATTTTTGGTACTGGAGATTGAGCCCAGGCCCTTCACACTGAGTTGCATTCTCGGCCCTTTATTTTGAATGAGGATGCTCAGTCACTAACTTGCCTGGGTTGGGCTTCAATTTAGGATCCTCCTGCCTCAGCCTCCTAGAGTGCTGGAATTAGAGGAGTGTACTACCACACTGGCTAGTGTCAGTAAAACTCTTACAGATTGAATATTAAATGGTAAAGACCTTGAAGTTTTTGTTTTGTTTTTTTTTTGAGACAGGGTTTTCATATATATTCAACAAACTCAAACTCACAGTGATCCTCCTGCCTCAGCCTTCTGAGTTCTACAATTATAGGTGTGCGCCACCATGCCTGGCTTTATTTTGATTTTTGGTTAAGAGCTTGGGGATTTTTATATAGAGAAGGATAATGAAAAAAAGAGAACTTGACTTTTTAATTGATGTAATTAAAACTTAGTAAAACATAATTTTCTAGAAATTTCTGTGGTGCTCTTTCACACTAGTTATACATACTATAGAAAGTGATCTTTTAAAAGAAACCTGAATATTTTCATAATTGGAATGTATTTTTAAAAAGAACAGATATTTCTCATCAAGAATGAAAATCTCATAATTATGTATATGTATATAAAGACATGTGCATACCTGTATAGGTAATATACATTAGAGTATTATGTAGATTCTTAGAAGAGTTTCATTTAGTTTCATGGGCTATAAACATGAAACAAACTATTCAATAGCAAAACAAATCTTATTAAAAATAGGCTCAAAGAAGAAAGAAATGGCTTACAGATACATGATTCAGAGAAATCCAAATGAAAAGCACAATTAGGTATCACCTAATACCTGCTAACTTGGCCATTTTAAAAAACAATAATTACAAATGTTGAGGATGTGGAAAAAAGGGAAGGAACACTTATATATATCCATGATGGTGGTGTGAATTAGTAAAACCATTTTGGAAAACAGTATAAAGGTTCCTTGAAAAAGTAGAAGCGACCGTGTGACTCACCCGTCCCACTAATGGGTATACACTTAAAGGAATTGAGAGCAGTATTCCGAGAGATGGCTGTGCTCTTGTGTTCACTGCAGTATTTGTTTTTTTAGTATTATTTGTAATAGTTATGGGATAGAAACAACCTGTGTCATAATGGTATACTATTCAGTCTTTTCTAAAAACAGGAAATGCTGTCATTTGTTAAAACCTAGAGGACATTATGGTAGGTGAAATAAACCAGCTACAGAGACAAACATGGTTTTAAATATATATATATATATGGTAATCTATAAAAGTCAAATTTGACAGTAGAGAGTAGGATGGTGGTTACCAGAGCCTGGTTAGAAGTGGGGCGGGGGGGATAGGCAAAGGGGGAAAGGGAGACACTGGTCAATTAGAAATGAGTTCTGATGTTTTCCTATATAGCAGGGTGATTGTAGTTACTGTATATTTCAAAAAAAACTCAAAGGATTTGAAATGTTCTCACCACAAGAAATAAATATTTGAGGCAATGAACATACTAATTACTCTGATTTGATTATTCCACAATGTACCCGTGTATTGAAAAATTTTACCCCATAAAAGTACAATTTATCATTTAAAGTAAAATTTAAAAATACCAAAAAGAGGAAATAATATCATGTTTGAATTTCACTAGGAATATTATTTATTTTACCTATTTATAATTAAAATATTTTTTTGTTTTAGTTTGAAAACATGTATTAGTTGCATTTTTGCTGTAAGACAAAGGTTGCGTAACTACTTGAGGTTTTTTTGGGTTTTTTTACTACTTGAGTTCTTAACAGTAAGAATATAGGCTAGTCACTTTGGATGAAAAATTATACCTCAGCATCTGGCTGTTTTTAGTATTTCTTAAGATTGTTGCAAAGATTGTGGGCTTTTTTTTTCTTTTTTCCTAGGGGTGATATTTTGTCATGAGTATTTATGGCCTGTAACTGTATTTATATGTATGTACATATGAAAGTTGATCACTGTAGTGAACAATTAAAATTTATCACAATTCTTCTGTGTGTGTTTATTTTTTCACCCTGTAAGCCGCTAAGTGTTCCTTATTGAACCAAAATATTTTAACTGACTTACATCAGCTGACATCTTTTGACTGTATCTCCAGCCCAGTGCTGTGCTAGGAACAGGAAATACAGGGGCACTTGGCTTGATTTCAGCTGTCAAGGGACTTCACACTTTAATTGGGAAGGGAAGTAGTAAAAAATAGGAAGTTAATGCCAGGTATAGGACTTGAGCTGAGAGTGATTTAAAGTAGCCTAGAGATTCATGATCAAATTAGAGCTGTTTAGTCAACATCCTTGCCTGCCTTTGAGAGGGCAGGAGCTGCTATGCAGTTCCCATTTAGGTGACCTCAGGCTTCTCCTCTGCCTTCAGCACTAGGGCAGCAAGGATTGCTTCATTGAAGCTAGTCATGTGGAGAAGTAGGCGGAACTTTGTGGCCTTCCTGTTTGAGTGTGAGAACTAAGGCGCTCCTGGTTTGTAACTTTGTCTAGGAGCCACATCTTTACTCCACCCCTGCCTTCAAAAGAAGTCGGCTGACCTCGTGAAATGTAAATTACTTTCCTTAAATGGAAGTTGGGAGGAAGAGTTAGAGGTGAGGATGCTAGACCAAGCCTATCCCTCCCAGTTAGGAAGGACTGTACTGCAGGAGGGGGAGGTTGGCTTCACAAAGGGTGGGTCAACTTGCATTTCATTTGAAAGACTGCAAGAGTAACTCCTCTCCTACTACAGCCAAAATTATTTTGCTGAAAGAACTCTGTATGCTTTTTTATTTTTTAAAGATAGGAATAACGCATAAAGGCTTAGACACAGATTTCATAGTCTGAAGATAGGAAGAAAGTATATATGCTTGAGAACCATATTTTATTTTACTTTTTGGTATTAGTGATCGAACCCTGGTCCTTCCCCTTGCGAGGCAGGCGGTGGAACCACTGAGCTAAATCCCTGGCCGGAGAACCATATTTTAATATTAAAAATAGCCCAAGTTGTCCACGTAGTTGTTATCTGTTAGCCGACAAACTAGCATTTTTACTTGCATTCATGTTTCTAAACATCGATATTTGAAAAGTACAATGAATGAGTGTTGGTGAGGTAAGTTATTCTTTAGTCAAAAGGCCCAGTGTTCTGTGATTTGGGGTTTAGAAAACTTCTGATTTAACTTCAAACATATACTCCCAGCCTCCTCCTCTCTGGGCAGGAACAGCATTAATGGTGAAAATCTGTCAAACTTCAAGCCTTTGTTAGAGGGGACAATCCATTAGGACAGTATCAATCCAAACAGAGTGGTGACTGGTAGTGATATGACACAATACTCTGCAATCTTGAAGCTTGACTTTCAGGGCAAAACCAAATGTGTCCATGGTCACTTTTGGTCGTACCAGGGATTGAACTTGGGACCTTGTGCTTTTGAGGCAGGCGGTGAAACCACTGAGCTAAATCCCCAGCCCTCCATAGTCACTTTCATCGAGCTGTGTGACCATGGGCACAATAACTCTGTGAACCAGAGTTATTCTAAAACCAAGAGACCTTGATCATCCTGAAGATCTTTGTGGTTTTCAGAAAATACCATGGCGAAGGGATCTGAAGGCCTCTCCTCAACAGTTCTAGCTATTCAATAGTGTGAGAAGGAACTGAAGAGCTTGCAAGAAGAGGGAAGGGAGCAGCGTTTAGAAAAGAAATCCATTTTCTAACATCTTTTTCCCTGTGTTTCTAAGGAAGATTAGATGGGAGTGGCTTGGACTTGTGGGTATTTTCTTGGAATGAGAATTCCCAGTGCATGTCTGTTTTCCTGATGATGGTGACACTGGCAGAGCAATTTACATGCAGCTAAAAATAGATGTGGCAACCTGGTAGGACACACCCTACTTTGTAATCATGTGAACATTCTCTAGTAATGGGTCATGATTAAAGAGAAAAACCTTTGTCCATACAACCCATGCACTAACTTTAGGTTCTCTTTTATAGATTTTCAAAAATTAGTTTGACACATTTAAAGTGAAATGTTCCAACTCACCTACACTTTATTCTTTTATGATCTTATTCCCAAATATGTTATTCTTCAAAACTGCAGAGGAATGGGAGATAGGGTAAAAATTGTAGATGGGGATTTCAGATCCCCTTACTTGGTTATTGTTGGCATGTTCTGGTCCCTTCCCTTCATGCATCCATAAGGTCTCCTTTCTGGGATTGGAAATCGCACAGCACAAGGAGCTTGGGCTTGGATTTGTGCAACAAAACAGAACAGAACAACACAGAACATGCAAATTACTCCTTGATATTTCTTGTTTTAGGAAAGGCTTCTATCCTTTTAGTCATGCTCTTTCACTGTGATTTCTAATAGAGCTAAGGAGTTTACCCATTTCCAACCTTACATTTTTACTCGGCTATTGTCAAAACCACACAGCATTCTCTCCACAATTGTCATTGCTTCTGGCTTTGGAATCAGAGCTGTCATTTTGTCATTAGTGTTTGTATGGTTCTAGACAAATGCTTGGTCTGTTTTCTTATAAAGTGGTGTAAAATATGTTTTTCTAACCATCTGGACAGTGAGATGAGAGTGTGCATCGTGTCTGGCCTATAGTGTCAGTCCCCAGAAAATGTCAGTTCCCTTCAATATGGAGGGTTGGAGATTAGATTTTTACAAAGCTATGGAGGATTTTGTCCATTTTGAGGTTGAAATGAAACCTGTCGAAGAACATGATAGGGCTGTGTAGCAGAGCTCAGGGGAAGGGGCAGTTTTTCCCTTGAGTTTTGCCATCACTAGGAGTTTACAAATTAAAAGCACATGACCCATCTGCTTTTAATTTGTAAACTCTTAGTGATGGCAAATCATTTATTTTCATCCTGTATATAATGGGTTTCACAAAGGCTATTTAAATGACCAAAGTCTCTTGTCTATATTTATATAAAAATTCAAGTCTTGATTTCTGTAATATCTCTTCAAGAAATAGAAAAAAAAAGTTTCTGTCAACTTGTTCTGGATTTGGGTAAATTTAGTTTGGATAAGGCAGTTTTTCAGCAGGGGGTCTTACAGAGCTCTTCCCTGAGATGAGACTGAGCTTTTCTTAACTTGGAGAACAGTGGTCATATCTAAGCTGGTTTTGTCTTTTTTTGTTTGTTTGTTCTGGTACCAGGGATCGAACTCAGGACCTCGTGCTTGTGAGGCAGGTGGCGGCACCACTGAGCTAAATCCTGTACCCCTGGTTTTGTTTTTTGGTTTTGAGGAGGCTGAGTTATATTCATCCGTTCACACAGTGTGAGACTGCTCTTTTGAGTCTGTATTCATAGGAACAAAACTTCTATAATATAAATATTACTTACTAATTACCTATGATGTGCCAGGTACTTTAGAAACATACATTTATTATTTCACCTACTGCTCAGAACACTCCTGTTCAGAAAGCGCAGTTGGCCATCTTTCTCATTTTATAGTCAAAGAAGCTGAGATGCCTCAGGAAATCAGCAGCCTCCCTAAAATCAGCTGGGAAATGAGTGGGAGACACAAGATTTGAACTTGGGTCTTTCTGCCCTCAAAACTATCTTGTCTTACCCACAATAGCTACTGTGAGGCTGGGGGAAGAGTCCCTGTTCCAGAACAGGGCTGGTTTATTTTTTAGCCCAGCACTTCATTAAATGCAGCCAAATTTTACACTTCTGGATTTTTCTGAGGATGGAAAGTTGATTTTTAAGCTAGGCTAATGTGTGACAAAAACTCATAAGCATAGTGCCTGTTTGCACCCACCACCTCCACCCCGAATATGTGTGCTTTCCAATTTTCAGGAATAAAAGGGATCTCCATAAATTGTCTCACATCATTTGAAGAAGCCAGAGTGAATCAGCCAGGGAAGATAATGTCTGACCTTATCCCCAGGAGAGATTTTGTGGTGGAAGAGAATAGAATTAATTCTAAAAGATACCCTGCTCATTGGCTTGCTTTTATCAGCTAAAGCCAAACCACACACACTGGGACAAGACCTGCTGGAGCTATTTGTAAGTGCAGAAAAGCGATTAAGGCGAGCCAGTCAAACAGTAATTGGTGCGCTTTGTCATTTTCCCACTGTACTTTCCTGATTTCACCAAGTCCAGACAGAAGGTAGGAAGAAAGAAAAATGTGTTAACACTAACTTTTTTAAAAACTCAAACAATAGAGAACATCTGAATTAAGGCTTCTTTATTCTTTTTGAAAGTTTTACTGGGGTCACATTAGAAAGAACAGCTTTCTGAGAATCAGCAACTTAAGACTAAAACTTTAACTTTCAAAACACAGTTAGAAAAAATATAAGGAAGTCAGGCTAATTTTTCACAGCTAACTCCTTAGCTGCCATAGGAGCCAGGGACCTTCCTACAGGCCTGGAAAGTACCCAGCTGGGATGATCAATCTTTAAATTAACTTCAACAAATACGAAGGGCATGTTTATATTATTGCAAACCACATGACTTTTGGAATGAGATAGGTAAATTAAAAAGTATATATACCTATTTAGAAGCATACTCTACTATCATTTATTTTCTACCCAAATCACCCTACATTTATGTTAGATTCTCTTTATAAAAAATATTGCAAGTGGACCACTGGCCTCTGTCTTTATGGCAGCAATTTTTGTATCATCTTTTTTTTTTTTTTTAATGGTATTAGGGATTAAACCAAGGGCCTTCACACTGAGACCACATCCCCAGCCCTTTATTAAAAAAAATCGTATTAGGAGACAGAGTCTTACTAAGTTCCCTGGGGTGGGCTCTTGCATCAGCCCCTCAGAGTGCTGTCATTGTCAGCACTGGTATTGTGCTGCCACGTCCAATTATTGTTTCATCTTTGAAGCATGTGGAAAGTTCATTGGTTCTGGTTTGCCCGGGATTGTCCTAGGTTAAAAACTGAAACTCCCATGTCTTAGAAATGCTCTGCTGGGCATTGTGGTGCATGCTCTGTAATCTTAGCACTTGGGAGGCTGAGGCAGGAGAATCTCTGCAAGTTTGAGGCCAGCCAGGGCTACATAGTGA